ACGGTTTACAATGACGTATCACCGTTAACACGCGGCTTTATGTACCGTGGACGTATTTACATTCATTCTATATTTAAACAGTTTAGTAGGTAGAACTGAACGATCCAACCTCTCGTCTCACGTGATATCTGGTTACCAGTGGGTTGTAATAACTGTTCTTTATTTTACTTGTTTGTACAAACAACTTATCTTGTAAAGAAGTCATGGCCAGCACAAAGGTCAAATAATAGGTGAAGATAGTATTCCCTTTTTGTACACGACACACGAGTGTTGTAAGTCGTTCTACTTAGAAGAATAGGCAATAATAGAATTATAGATAAAGAAGTTGTATATCCACAGAACTCTCCTCGTTGATTATAACCCGATTATAAATCCGGGTTAGAATTGATCTTCAGCAACCCATGCTTGTCGTAAGAGGCAACTAACGGGTTCGGGTGGTCAGGCTCACTGACTTGGTTCACACGTTATCGCATCCCAATTGCGTAGATCGATGTTCATGCTGTTGATCACTGGATTGTCTGGTCCAGACTCGATTATTTACATTTCCATATAGCTGGAATATTGCTGAGTGGGGCGTAAAACTATACTCACTCACTCCTCGCTGATTATAATGCACCTTCGTTAGTTTCTTATTAATTGTGCATGGCTGTAGGATGAACCTGGTCAGTGTGAGTAATGTGATGATAATACTCTATATTCCATGGCGTATAGGTGACCGTATATGAGAAATACGTGATGGAGGAGCATATGACCTCTCACCACGTCATCACACAGTGCCTGTTTCCAGGCTTGGCCTATAATAATACCAGATGCCCCTTGTCTGTCTGTATATCGAGTACATGCCAATGTGCTCTGTTGTAGAGGTCATATCTATCGTATGTGTCAGCTAGTCTCAACTCAATATATGTTGTTGTTTCAACACCACACTCAGTGCTATTCCATCTACATGATGGCAGATTATAAATTATCAGGTCGGGAGCAGTCATCCATGTGATTGATATTGTCAACAATTATACACGATTGCAGGGCATGGTGACGTGTAATCAACGGACACCTTGAGCCTGACCTTGATCCATTATGTTACCACCAGGTTCGATATAGACAAACTTTATGGATAACAACTTCTTAATTTCATGAGTGGGTCGTTACATACATATTATTGTCCTGTTGTGGAGCAGCAATGCTGCTCATTGTTCGTTGTCATTGTTCGTTGTCATTGCTCATTGTCATTGTTCGTTGTCATTGTCATTGTTCGTTGTCATTTCTCATTATTCGTTGTCATTGCTCTTTGTCATTGTTTGTTGTCATTGCTCATTGTTCTTGTCATTGCTCATTATTCGTTGTCATTGCTCATTGTTCTTGTCATTGCTTGTTGTCATTGCTCATTGTCATTGCTCATTATTCGTTGTCATTGCTCATTGTTCTTGTCATTGCTCATTGTTCTTGTCATTGCTCATTATTCATTGTCATTGCTTGTTGTCATTGCTCATTGTTCTTGTCATTGCTCATTATTCATTGTCATTGCTCATGGTTCTTGTCATTGCTCATTGTTCTTGTCATTGCTCATTATTTGTTGTCATTGCTCATTGTTCATTGCTCTTTGTCATTGCTCATTGTCATTATTCTTGTCATTGTTTGTTGTCATTGTTTATTGTCATTGCCCATTGTCATTGCTCGTTGTCATTGCTCATTGTTGTCATTGCTTTGTAATTGTTTGTTGTCATTGCTCATTATTCGTTGTCATTGCCCATTGTTCTTGTCATTGCTTTGTCATTGTTTGTTGTCTTTGCTCATTATTCGTTGTCATTGCTCATTGTTTTTGTCATTATTCGTTATCATAGCTCATTGTTAATTGTCATTGTTCCTTTTCATTGCTCTTTGCCATTGCTCATCACTTCTCGTTGTCATTGCTCATTATCGTTGTCGTTGCTGCTCCACAATGGTACAAGAATCTGTATCAAAAAGTCACACTCATGAAATTAAGAAGTTGTTATATAGTTTGTTTATATACTTCCCAACTATATGACTTTCCAACTTGTCACTCAAAGAAGTTACCACCAGGTTCCTGGAAGAAGCATCCCAACAAGCATCCCGACAAGCAACAGGATTTAAAATGAAACCCCTGATCTTTCTTTATCCATGTCATAAAATTGGTGGGACTTTGTAAACCATGTCACAGTAAAAAAGTATAAAAAAATTAAAATCCCAAATGATCAATAAGACTGATCAGTGTGGCAAGATTCCGCAAGACATTTTCAAAGGGTGGAGTTCTGCTGGGGAAATGGATGAATGGACAGACAGACAAGCTGATTGCTCATGGTGATAAAAGGTTGTATCTGTGCTTGTATGACCTAGAGTTTGGGATAACTGGCCACGAATCCACACTTGGGTATCACAGTGTACACACAAAGTGAGTGAGTGAGTGAGGTTAGTTTGACGCTGCTTTTAGCAAAATTCCAGCCATATCATGGCAGGGGACACCAGAAATGGGCTTCGCACATTGTACCCATGTGAGGAATTGAACCCAGATCTTCAGTGTTATGGGCGAACACTTTAACCACTAGGCTACCCCGCCGCCATAAACACAACAAGAAAACAAAGTGAGGAACACAAAGATGACAGATTTATTATTGTCTGCCTGAAACACATGGAAGCTCATGGAACTGAGTTCAAGAACAATCTGTGAGATGTGATGCCACACACACATTGACAGCACAGACCCATGATGTAGCTAAGTTATTCAGGGATACAACTGACACTTCAACAACCAGATGATTCATTAAACAACCTTGATAAATGACAATCATAAGAACTGACCCAATACCAAACACTAGTACCAGCACCTCACATCCAATGATAAGATCCCTCTATTGCTATATGGAGAGTCACACAACAGGTTTACTGATTAAAAGTTTACAAAGACATGAACAGTATGACCAGTCACACTGGCAATGATTTCATAGGCTGATACTTGTACAGAAGTATGTAAAAATTCAACAATATGTTCCCTGTCCCTTTGATCCAGAGCACTAGAAATGATAAATATGACAGCAGTTGGAAGCCCTCCCAGCATGAGTTGTCTCCCTTGTGGAAAACAACATGGGGGTGAATTTCATGTTTCATAGCATTGTTGCTAGCAAATCTAAATAAAAGAAAACAATTTCAAAATTTTCTTCCAAACATTGAAACTATGCTGCTAAGTGGAAAGAACCAAAATGTCCATAAGTGTGGATCTACCGAAATGACCTAACCAAACTTCATCCTTCATACAATTGTAAGACGTGAACACATGTATATAAACACGATTTAAAAAAATTGGTATTGCTGTGTAATAATTAAATGTACAATATGAAATTAACTATCCTGCAATGGCAGATATAGATATAGATATAATAAATAAAACAGAATCTTCTAATATCTGATTACAATGAAGCTGATATGAATCTGATAGCTATGATTGTTGAAATACAACAAATTAACTGGTGAGTAATATGATCAGTATATGTACTGTAACACTCACAACAATAACAGAAACAAGGATAACATACAATAAGGCTGATGTCACAAATGGGTAAATAGAGCCAATCTCTGGCAGATATACTTTCACAGAATACACATTAATGATCCTATACCCTTTTTAACGCATGACATTATTACTTTGTAGAATATTTTCCTATCAGAATTGTTATGCCAAGAATACTTGAAAAATCTAAGGAATTCAAGATGGGTATGGTTTTGGGGTAGGTAAGTTTGTAGGATACTATTAGATTGGGAAGATCGGAAAGATGATCACACAAGATGATTTTCTCATAGAGTATTCAATTCATAAATGACATAAAACACACAAAATCAGATTAAATAAACAATTATTGGCTGAAAGTCTCTGGATTGGAACAAACTGTGCCATTTGAATTGGCTAAGAGTCTCTGGTTTTGAACAAAATGGTCCATGAATGCTCTACTAATCAGAAACAGCTCCTAGAAATGATCTTAAAATAGTTCCACTGATATGCAGGAGTAGTCAACCAGACGGATAGCCATAAATGATAAAACTGATAGGTCGTATGAGTGTAGAGAATTGATACTATGTTATAGGTTCCAATTAAAACAATTGAACAGCATGATGATTTGTAAAATAAACAAGCATCTATAAAACAATGATGATACAAAAGTACCCTGACAAACTGATAAAAACTTTTGTAAAGAAGAACTAAATCCCTCTTGTAAAATACAACTTCTACATCAACAGATAATACTTGGAATGTATGTATATGTCTGGAACTAGATGTAAATATACATAGGGACCACTGTATCAGCACAAACCAGTAATAGACTATTCACGGGATACAATGCTTCAGACTGCAATAAAATATACCCCACAAAACAAATTACCCTCACCTTCTGACAAACATGGTCCCCTGGCATCAATTTGGCAGCAAATGCATTTTCACGAACAATTATGAACTCCAGTCTGAAGCTCTGATGAAAATCTAGCACTTATTACAGTTTGAAATGAATGACAGTTTGGAATTCAGTGTTTACATTACAGTGTATCAGATCTTTTCTGAGTTAACAGTAGTTCTGCTTGGATGGTTTTGTACTCCGTTAAATGAACCCGAAAAATATATTTTAGTTCCATCTTGTCCATCACTGTCTCCAGCCAGTATACACAAGGAGATGCAGTAGATACATCTCAGGTTAAAAGTCTATCTGCAGTGTAGGAAAGATGTAGAAAATCTAGCCTGTCCACAGGACTGGCAGGTCAAATTTTTTACCAGTCCTGCCAAAATCTAGCCTGTCCTCCAAATATAAATAAAACACCTTCGGCAGTAAATATTCAAAAAGGTTATAATCATTATATATATGTCATTGGTTTGCTAAAATTGACCCGACATGAGGACGGACTAGATATTTTTTAACCCGTCCTCCACAAAATTCACCCGTCTCGGACGTTGGGACGGGCTATCTTTCCTACACTGCTATCTGGGAACATAGTGACTTCATATGACCACAATGACACTCCTTACGGAAATAATGGAGTTGTGGTCTTTTAATTTAGCTTTTTAAAAATTATATTTAGTAAAATACTGTACATGACATTTTTTTAACACACGTGACATCAACATATTGCTGACAATTTTGAAATATCACATTAAACATACAATACAATGAAAGTGAGAAGAGCACGATAGATTTGAACAAAAGCAATTATTCCTATTTAGGTAAATAATTTGTTATAACTCTGTATGTTCGGGGTGTTCTTTATGAAGATCAGCAGCAGATTCTTCAGCTGAGGATTCTGGGACGTCTTGGGACTCCTGGGTGTCATGGGACATGATGGGAGACTCCTTCCTGTCCGGCACTTGATGGTACAAGCGAGAACTGCGCAGCTCAAGCAACTCATTGCGGATCTCATCGTCAGTACTGCCATCACTGCTCTGACCTTCCTCCTCTGCCCGCTCGCCCTTTCCATACTCAATCTCTGTACCATCACTGTTGAAACCTGCAAAATTCAATACCGGGATTTCACATATTTAAGCCCACATATTATGCCCATGGGCTTTATAGCGGGATATTTCAAATTTTATTGTTAGAGTGATGTCCCTTCGCAACAACACATGGCAAACTTCAGCATATATAACGTTTGTAGTGCACGCTTGTAATGCAGTTACTGAGAAGAGGTTTTCATGTTTACATGGAGTCCCAAGAGAGGTCAGGTACTCTATACCCATATAGACAACCTCAATCCATATGACTCACATGCAGTCGCAATAAAATATGATAACAACATAGGACACGTTGTTCCCCATACAGTAAAGTATGTAAATATAACAGAGGGGTGTCATTCAAGTTCAGGTTTAAGACAGTTCTTGAATGATTGTTTAAGGTTCAGGTGTTCTGTATTATTCTGTTTATATTAAAGTTCATTCCATTTTATCATTTTCTTCAGATACAAACATTTCCCGAATTTAAGCCCTGGGCTTAATTATGGGTTTTTATTTGTGAAGAAGAAGGGTCTTTTTCCGTTATTAAGCCCAGGGCTTAAAGGAAATCCAGTATAGCATTGGTTAACACTAATAATAAATATATCAGTCCATTAGTTATTCAGCAGTTAAACTGTTTACATGTTTTGGAACCTCATCAGAGTGGCCTATCAAATCATATCGATACATGATCAAGAAACAATGCTGCAGGATATGAAGCCATGTGGTTGGTATGAAGACATTGTTTTGGGTATGAAAAGATGTTGGGGTATGAAGACACATTCTTGGGTATGAAGACATGGTTTGAAGACATGCTCTCTGGTAGGATCACTAACTGTAACAGCCTGATTCTCTTTGCTATGGGGTAGCCTAGTGGTTAAAGTGTTCGCTCGTCATGCTGAAGATCTGTGTTCGATTCCCTAAAAGGGTACAATGTGTGAAGGCCATTTCTGGTGTCCCCTGTGATATTGCTGGAATATTGCTAAAAGCGGCGTAAAAACATGCTCACATACTCTTCTTATCATAGACATGGAGAACAGGGAACCCTTTCTGCATGATAGACATGGAGACTTATATTCTTTGAAGTATTACAGTTAAATGACAGAAGTACCTATTTCGTAAAATATTGCACTAATTGTAAATTACCTGCTCCAAACTCCTCCGCAGTTTGGAGTGTTGGTTTGTGGTCAAGACTTTCTCCATATTTAGATTCAAACTCGGACAGTCCCAGGAAGTCGTAGCTCCTTGCTGCAGGCTTCCAATCTCCCTTTGGCAGCATCTCTGTGGTCAAGAAACATTTCCACTTACAAAATTATCACATTGACAACAAAATACACCCATCCATTCACATGGAAGGGTATTGGGTAAGCACGAAAGATTTATAACAGGACATGGGTACCAAGGTACAGGGCACAGGTGATGCCATGGAAAACTTACTGAGGTACCAAGGACAACTTACTGGGGTACCAAGGTACAGGACAACAAGGTGATACCTTGGATAAACTTACTTGTTGGTTCCTCCTGATCATTCACAGCGTGACCCAGCCACTCCTGGACAGCCTCAGGAGTAAATTCCCCCTCGACCTTGCTGTAAACCTTGCCCTGGAAACAAGCAGACGGCAACTCAGACACAACACTACTGGGGTTGAGTAACTTGGACAGGTGACCATAAGCTCTGCAGTCAACATTCCACTCATCAGGACTATAGAACAAGTGATATTTCACAACTGTTTAAGCAATGGACTTGAGGTGGTACTGCAGGGTGATGACTTACAGTTCTGTGGTAGACCAAGGACAGGGCTGGCAGAACAGAAGACCAGGTATACTCAGAGAAGATGGTGGCTCCTATGCTGCTGCCCCGTCTGTAACATGTTTCACTTACATGTCAAACTATTCAGTGAAAATTTAAGGAAAATATCATAAAAATGTCTTTCATGATGTACTTTTCTTCTTCTTTTTTTTTAATTTGTATTCTCGGAGAAAGCAGTATACAATATGTATAAATGTATACAATATATATACAGACACTGGACTCACCAGATCTGGCCTATATTTAACTTGGCAATGTTTTTTTGAACCTATCCAAACAACCTGTGATTTGTCATAATTAATCCTCAGTCCCGAAATTCTATCAAATAAGTCTAATGTATCAATAACAGTTTCAAATGATTTTTTTGAGCCATCAAGAATGAATTCAGCAGCATCTGCATATTGTGCAATCAAGTACTCTATATCATCAACTTTTATGCCATTTATATGTTTATTTTTTTAATAAGAGCAGATAAAATATCAGCACATAGTAGGAAAATGTAGGGGGATAAAGGATCTCCTTGTCTGCAGCCACAACAAATTGGTATCCAAGGTGACATATTTCCATTTATAATAAGACTAGATTTTATATCATAATATAGGCTTGATACCCACTTTGAAATACTATCACCAAATCCATAAAATTTAAGTGTCATATTTATGAAGGACCATGATACAGGATCAAATGCCTTCTCAAAATCTACTAGTAATAACATTCCCGGAACATTTTTAGATTCTGTGTAAAGTAATAAGTCATATATCATACGTATGTTATCTCCAATATATCTGCCAAACAAAATATCTTAATCAGGTCCACAGCAGAGCTGAGGGCCCAATCCATAGCGCAATCAAAGCAATCAGGCAAATTCAGTTCTTCAAAATTTACATTAACTTACAATGATCTTACAGCTATGATAATTTGTGGATAGGGACACTGGTTGACGGAGATCATTGAGATCTGATTGGAGAGATCATGGGAATCAAAAAGACAGAACTCAAACTTTAAATATAACTATCACATCCCAGTGAACACAGCATAGTTTAAACTGTATTAAAGACATCTAAAGAAACCACTCACGCATGCATCCAGGTAGCCCAGAAAGACAACACCCGGGAAGAGCCCAGACAGAGCCAAGTCAGCAACAGTCTTCTTGATGAGAGTTGTCTCAGCTTCTTCATATTTGTCACAGAACAGGATGAGGAAAGGCTTGTCCTGGCTGTACATCAGTGGGAAGATATCAGCTGTCAGATTTAACATAAAACTCGGCTGCGACATCAGAGTTTCATGTATACCATGTCTGGAAATATTGTTTTCCTGTCCTTTTTTATTACTCGCCCTGTTTTTTTCATTTTAAGAATATGCAGAGTAATCAAGCTGATAGATATAACTCTCCATATGTTTAAACAGTCATAATCTAGAGGAATTATATGGCACAAGAGGTCCCATGTTCTTTATATATAAATATGATTGGACAATGTTTGACATAGCCTGAAAGAACCCTCATCATGCCCTCCCTGTCATCTGAACAAGGAAACACCAAAACCAAGGACCTTTTCAAGTCTCTATTAAAACCACCTCTCCGCTTAGCATTCCACTAGACTTTCAGGATTGTGTGTTTATAATTGCATGGCTTTGTTTTTATCTTTAGAAATCAGTTGTTATTATCATTATCATTTACAAGTCAGTTCTTAATGTTCTAAGGCATGGTGTTGGTCTCACCAATGTCGGAAGCCTGCTGTTTAACACCAGTGACTTGATGCTGTCCACTGTCAGGTCAGCAGTGAGGGACTTGGTGTCAGAGTACGGGTCATCATGGCGGAACACCAGCACAGATGGAACAGGCTGGCCTAGCTTCTCTGCTCTGTCAACACACAGAGGACAAGTATGTACATGGAAACTGGTGGGGAAAAAATTACATATTGAGGTAAGGGGAGGGATGGGAGGCATGGGAGCATGGATGCTTTCTTTTCTTTGTTGTCTTCCCTATACTGAAGAAGCCTTCTTTTCTCTAACTGGAAGAAGCCTATGTTGTCTGCCTTATATTGAAGAAGCCTTCTTTTCTATGTTGTCTGCCTATACTGAAGAAGCCTTCTTTTCCATGTTGTCTGCCTTATACTGAGGAAGCCTTCTTTTCTATGTTGTCTGCCCTATAGTGAAGAAGCCTTCTTTTCTATGTTGTCTGCCTTATACTGAAGAAGCCTTCTTTTCTATGTTGTCTGCCTTATACTGAAGAAGCCTTCTTTTCTATGTTGTCTGCCTTATACTGAAGAAGCCTTCTTTCTATGTTGTCTGCCTTGAATATGAGGAAGTCTTCTGTCCTTATACTGAGGAAGCCTTCTTTTGTCTCTATAGTGAAGAAGCTCTTCTTTCTATGTTGTCTGCCTTATACTGAAGAAGCCTTCTTTTCTATGTTGTCTGCCTTATACTGAAGAAGCCTTCTTTTCTATGTTGTCTGCCTTATACTGAGGAAGCCTTCTTTTCTATGTTGTCTGCCTTATACTAAAGAAGCCTTCTTTTCTATGTTGTCTGCCTTATACTGAAGAAGCCTTCTTCCTATGTTGTCTGCCTTTTAGTGAATTATTATTCCTTCATATAGGTATTGTATTGAAATGTACAAATTAAACCACAGTTCATCCTAAAAGATAAAGAGTGTGTGAGTGAGTAGTGTTTAACACTGTTTAACAGCATTTCAACTATATCATGGCATGTCACCTTAATGTGGTGGGAAAGCCTGAAGTTTTGCAGCTTAGATGTTTAGAAGGCCATTTTACCCACAATCGACCTGTAATGTTCCAGGTTAGAATTGGTCTTCAGCAGCAACCCATCTTAGTCATAACACTGACTTGGTTGACTCATGTCATCATATCCCAATTATGTAGAATGATGTTCATGATGTTGATCACTGGATTGTCTGGTCCAGACTTGCTTATTTACAGACTGATGCCAAAAAGCTGGAATATTTCTGAGTGGCGTTAAACAACTAAAAGCAAACTAAACCCACAATCAATGTTTTCTGGTGTGTCCAAGGGAGATAACTCTGCAGCATCCAAGAATGGTCAACCTATCACTCCATAATCATATCAGTACAGAATTCTGTCGTATAGAAATAGAAATATTATAACATAATCTCACATGTCCTTGGCCAGCTTCCCCTGAACATAGGCAAACACTGTTGTGTTCTGCAGGCTCCCAGCCACATCCTTGAACGCTGACAGCTCTGGAATAAACACAACAAACATTGTGAATAATCTGCAATACAAGTTTGTCAAACTAACACAAGGATGCCTAACATATCTTAACGGCTGATAGTTTAAGCTAATGATACAGCAACAAATGTTTCTTTGAAAATGAAGCAAGTCTAGAATTTTCCACAGGTTCAGGTTCTGAATGTCTCATCTCACTTGGCCTCTCTTCCAAATAAACGACATTGTTTGTTTCTCTCGTCATTACAATGATTTTCTTCTGTTAAGTCTTAGGCTACCCATGCCTCTGTAAGAGCCACAGCAACTTACCAGGTCCTGTTTGTTCAAAGAGGCCAAGTACTGACATGTTGGTGTAGGTAACGATATTCTCAGGCAGCGTCCCCGCAACAAACTTCTGCGCCTCCGTCTGTGTTGTCAGCATCATCGGTGACTCCTGCTGCATCCTAGACATGGAGTGAGTGAGGTCAGTTTTACGCCGCGTTTAGCAATATTCCAGCAATATCTCGGCAGGGGACACCAGAAATGGGCTTCACACATTGTACCCATGTGCTGAATTGAACCCGGGCCTTCGGCGTAACGAGCAAATGCTATAACAACTAGGCTACCCCATCGCTCCCCCCTTGACACGAACAGACGTGCTCAACAAAACTGTTCCACAGATCAACATCTTAACTATGGTAAAAATCTTCATCTGTTCTCCAAAATCTGCCAAGGAGCCACTACAGGATTCCTACTGTTTTTCCCTAGATATTCCAGCATTTCAAGGAATCATGACATTTCACTCCTACTAGTGACAGCAATCTGAGAGTATACAGGTTTGTTTGAAAACCCGACAGCATAGAGTTCAAAAGACAACATCCACTGTTATCATACTCTAACCTCATTTGCAGTGTTTTCTGACAGCCTTTAATCACTGAGTATATCTTGACCTGACAAAAACAGTGGGCGATAGTGTGTTTAATTATGTAGACAAGCAGAAGTCCTAATTTGAGCCATCACACTCACAGTTTGACCACAGACACAACTGCATCAGTATCAAGAGCTCCCTTGTAGTCAACTGGGTCTTGTCCTTTCTTGAAGAAGCGCACTGTTGGGTAGCTGGACACATTCTGTTGACCACACACATCCGTCCAGTCATAGCAGTTGACCCTCCCTAGAATACTGGGACTGGCATGCTTGTCCCCCAGGCTGAAGGAGGCCTCACCATATGCACGAAGGAATGCCATGCTCCTTGAGTCAACTGAAATACAGTCATTGTGCTCTACAGTCTCTCCACTTGGACAATGTGCAAAGACAGAATAGGGTTATCCTCACAACTAATAGATAAATCTGCAGTGAAGAGAAAAATCTAAGATTTTGTTATGTGGTTAGCAGGAATTTATGGCAAGGGTGTAATAGATGTAGGGTATTCAAAGGAATTATGAAAACTGTAGGATTAATTTGAAAATGTATATTCTATATAAAAAATATTAAAAATATCCCATTATATCCTCATATATATGGATATAGCACATTTCATTAAATTTAACTGGTGACATTTACATAGAAGCTGCAGTGATTGGTAGCTCAGCTACACACAGGTCCGGTCCAGACAAACCTGGAAACATAATCAAGAGTGAATCTTGGATTCAAACCAATGATCATCAGTTTCTGGCAAGCCCAAGGGATGCAACTCTGCACAGCAAATAGCAAATAGCCTTAGCCAGCTTGGTCATAAATGCACCATATATAAGGAAGATAATATAAGACTAGATCAAATGTGACAGAGTGATACTCCCCAAAGATGCTCCTTAATCATGCCCCACTTCAACAATTACATATGTTCACTCCATCACATGACTTACAGGGCAGGTAGAAGAGCACGGCCAACAGGTCCCTCTCCTGGACGGTTGCTGGGAAAGTCTTATCTGTGAGAGCAGGAACGAGGCTGAGCTTCATGGGGTCACGGCTGAGCTGGAACACAGCCTCTGCCACCTGGTCATCCTGTGTCTCCACTGCAACAACAACACTGTTGCTGTAGTGAGTGAGTGGGTATGGTTTTACGCCGCTTTTAGCAATATTCCAGCAATATCACGGTAGGGGACACCAGAAATGGGCTTCACACATTGTACCCTTGTGGCGAATCGAACCCGGGACTTCAGTGTGACAAATGAACACTTAACCACAGTTGCTGTAAGAGACCAACAATTGAAATCATCAGTAAACTTGATGAATTATCAGCAGTGATTAAGGTTTATGAATTATCTTTGAGTGACCATGTTGGAAACTTTTGGCAATTGTTGTAACAGTCTATGCATGTTCAGGGATTGCGTGTTCACTGTTTTTCATAACAAATGTTTGGCACAACATTGCATGGATTACAGTGGTAATGGTTTACAGTGACAATCTTGGTGGGTATGATATCTTCACCAGTATGCTTTACATGATGTACCCATGGTAAGTAGAACCCAGGCCGAGATGAGGAGAATATTGAACATGAGAAAAACAATTTTGTCTCAGTCATACACACCTGAATATTGTTTACTCTCTCTCTGAGCAGTGTGCACTTCAAGAAGTGGTGAGGTGAGGTGACATGAAATTGGGTCTAATGTCGTGCTTGAGAATATTTCGCTCATATGACGACGTGCATGCCCGTGTATGTGTATGTGCGGCTGCTTGTACTAGCCCAGACTGAGGCTGGTTTTATAGTGCTAGCCCAATGAGATACCATGCTGCAGTGAAGCATGAATACCCCACTCAGACACATTATACTGACTCCGAGCCGACCAGTCCTGGTTGTACACATGAATACCGAGAGCCAGGCAGGGACCAACAAGTACCATATTTTAACGTCTTTTGGTATGACACGGTCGGGGATCGAACCCGCGAACTTCCGCTCTCTGGGTGGACGCTCTAACCACTACACCAAGGAGGAGGTGGCACTTCAAGAAGTAAATCTTCAAGGATTTTAAAAGTTTTATACTGTACAAAGTTTTAGAACAGGGTTTCGGCACATGTTTTTAAAGGAAGTATCCATTTGATTTCAATGTGCTTGTGCAGAAATACGCTCAAGAGTTCAAGATGTACAATTTGTTTGTACTGGTAAAAATTATGAAAAGTATGTATTGTGAAAAACACTGAAGGGGAGAGAGAAGTGAGTGCTGATCTAGTGAGACTCAAACCTTCTTCCACAGAAGGGAAGTTGTATCCAGTTTTGTCCATATCCTTTGCATCCGAACCCTTTGACCCCCGTTGCCCCTCCTCGCTGTCCCTATCCACGGGCTGCTGGTCAAACAGGTTGGCCTGGATAAAGGTTGCGATGTTGTCCAGTGACCACTCAGTTGTCATGAAACGTGGAGTATCCTGAAGGGCACACACATCGATATGAAACAAGCTTCTACAAAAACAGGGTTGGATAATGAGAGTGAAAGTCCTAATTCCTCAGTGGATACACAGGAACACTAGGAGAAGACAAAGATAGATAAAAAATATCCTTGAGTGTCAAGGTATTGTAGCTATCTCCTATTATTCCATGGAGCCTGGAGTCTTTACTAATGTAGCTTTCTTTTGAGCCATACTTAAATGGAATGATGCTTCAAACAGCCATCCAATCAAATAACACTCATGAGCAAGCGAAATCCTGAGCTATCTTAGAGATATGCGATAGAAATGGTCACACTGGATTTGGATTGTTTGTTGTTTAATGCCGCACTCAGCAATTATCGAGGTCTGTAAATAATCGAGTTTGGACCAGACAATCCAGTGATCAACATCATGAGCATCGATTCACGCAATTGGGATACAATGACATGTGTCAACCAAGTCAGCAAGCCTGACCACCAGATCCCAACCGATCTTACGACAAGCATGGGTTGCTGAAGACCAATTCAAACCCAGGCTGGTCACATTGGAACAAATGGCAAATTGGACCAGGATATTTGTCATAACAGAATGGAAAAGTAATGCACTTGGTAATACTTTTTTTTTTTTTTCATTTGTTGTTTAATAATGCTTTCAGCAATATTCAGGCAATATGGATGCAGCCTCTCAATAACTGAGTATGGACCAGGCAAACCAGTCCTTGATATTATCAGTATCAATATACGCCAACAGAACACAATAACACTTGATCAATAAAGCCATTAAGACTGCCCACTCTATCCATTAAGTCACCATCAATGTCGATACTTAATTGAAAATTCACTGACAAAGAAATGATTACATATTATATTTCCTCTTAATAAGCACTGGGCCTCGAATAAAAGCTGGGGTAAAGCAGCTGTTTAAGAAATAAAGCGCCGGGTACTTTTTGGCCTCTAATATTAAGGAAGCCAGGTACTTCCTTTTGATAAATGCATTCCCCATGATCCAAAAATAGATTTATTAAGGAATGGTCCGTTTAGTCACAACTTCCTGTCACCCAGTAAGTGCAATAAATAAATCAATACTAAATTTTGCAAATAATGACACTCCCAGTATTATTTACAAGTCCCAATGAAATGTGTCTTTGAGAAAAGCAAGTTGAGCTTGAGACCTATTCTGTCCTCTCACCACTATCTGGGTGAGGAGAAGGAAAACCAAGTTCTATGGATAGTCAACTTCTTTATTGCAATGAGTGCGACGTTTTGGTGTAGGTTCTAACACCATTATCAAGCAAGTTAGTACCTACACCGAAACATCGCACTCATTGCAATAAAGAAGTTGACTATCCATAGAACTTGGTTTTCCTTCACCTTTACAACTTCTAAAAATGCCTTTCAAAGAAGTTGGGTGAGGAGAGACTGAGACGAATCTGTCTGGTGGGACACACATCAGCAATAACAACTTACCTCTTCTTTCAGGAACACACTGATAGATGGAGTCTTGCCATTAAAACCATGGATTTCATCAAAGACAATCTTTTCCCTGCAATACATGAATTAGGTGGTTACCATGGTTACCTTGGGACCAGGAAGGCGATAGCTAGGTACAATTAACAGACCCTGCAAAAGTCACTGGAAAATGCAGAGATATATTGGGTCTGTCAGGTCCAGGGGACTTTCAGTTGAACTTTGTTTAAAGCCATGCAGGCTGGTGCTATGTTCCACATTTCACTGGGTTTTCCCAGAATGTTAGTGACATCACAGCACATGCTCAGAAGCCTTCAGTCTTTTACATATATGTGATTTCAATGTTTCAATGTAAAATTGAATTCAACCACTCACTTTGACTGTTTTTCTTATCAGAAAAGAAATGTTACTATACTGTAACAAGGAATCTACCATTCTGATACACAGCCATTAATATGAATTAGCTGTTTTCAATCTCAATTTGTATAGAAAATAGTGAATGAGTGATTTTAGTTTTACACTGCTTTTAGCAATATTCCAGCAATATCACAGCGGGGGACACCAGAAATGGGCTTCACACACTGTACCCATGTGGGGAATCGAATCCGGGTCTTTGGCGTGACGAACAAATGCTTTAACCATTAGGCTACCCCACTGCCCCGTATAGAATATAGGATGCAACAATTGCCATCTTGTAAAACTCTGCAATGAAAACATTCTAAATATAAAGAAAGTAACACTGTAAAAACTGTTGTAAAACACTGTTGTCAACATGTGTCATGTATTCAGATCTTATCAAATCATACTAACATTCCCTCCCCCACCCCACCCCCAACATTTTAAACCAAGTAATCAAAAGGGCAACCTTACTTGAAAAACTGAAGGTAGCTTGAATCATGCTAACACCCCTGTACTTACGTGTCAACAACGACTATGCCTGCCACGCCGTAGATCTCAAACTTGAGGTTCTCTGCTGCTTCAAGCACCTGGTCCTTGTTGTTACTGTCATAGTACAGGAACACGCAGTGAAATTTCTCGTTGCGGCAGGTTGGGATTGTGCCATGCTCCGGGAGTTCGAACTGGATGATGTGGAGGAGAAAGTGGAGCTGTTACTAAAGTACTGAAACTCTTTGATGTGTTCTTTCTTGTTTCACCTTTGTGAGTGAGTGAGTATAGATTTAGATAGCTTTTATCAATATTACAACAATGTCACAACAGGGGAAACCAGGTATGGAGAATCAAACCTGTGTCTTTGAAATTAGAAGTGAATGTTTTAACCACAAGGCTATCCTACCGCCCCTTAAACATTGGTCCTGATCGCACACACATGCATTTCATTGCTGGCATCGTTGTATTTATCTATTCAAGTAGAGTGGAACATGTTAAACTCTTATATGACACCAGTCGAGGTCACATCAGATGAATCCAGATTAAACTATGACTGTCCAATCAAAATTAAGGATGCTTGGACTAATAAACCAATCAGGTGATAGTTTTCTGAACTGATTTGGCTTCATTTCCTTACCACTATCTTGTGGAACTTTTAATCTAAGAAATGAAATATATCCTTTGCAACAACCCTTATGAGTGGTTGCCAGGAAGTATCATACGCAACAAAAGAACAATAACAATCACTTTCATGTTTAAAGTAAAACATCAGATATGCCTACCTGAATGATAGATTGTCTCATACTGACAACTTACAAGAAATACTGTTGATTGGCTAATAAGAAAGTTCACCTGGTATGCCCACCAGTCTTCAAGCAGAGAGATACTGCATCAGAGTAAAAGGTCTAATTTTACTAATAAATACTTAACATAATAAAGTACTGAGTTGACAACATACTATTCTAGGCAGGCTAAGAGCCTTGAGGAAGACAGCAAGGGAGGGAAGGTCCATCTTGCCCCGATACCGGACACTGGGGCACCCAGCGCTGTCCTCGTCAGCATCACGACAGTACAGCACCCACACTGCAGCATCATCGTTGGCAGTCACAAGGTCAGCCTCCCTGTGACACAGAGAATACATTATTGCTTCAACCGCAGCTACACTAGATGAATTATCCCCCTTAGTCAATTCCTACATATGTAGACAACACTTCAGTCATGAATTAGGCATGGCAGTAGCTTTCAATAGAGCAGGTACTGGGGCAGGGTTTGAGTTCAACATAATATCTTACAAAACTTACCATTACTTTTATTTAAGTAAGTGCGTGAGTATGGTTTTATGCTGCTTTCAGAATATCATAAGAGTCATTTAAACTGTTGACATATGGGGACAAGCAAAAGCGCTTACTACTAGGCCACCCAACCACCAATTTTGAAGGTATATGCACCATGGCCTTGTGCCCATTTCAAGGTCTTGGCACAATACAGTTCTATGTGGCACTGAAATGATTTGTGTTTGGGGAAAGGAATCAAACTTGCTCAAACATCCAACTGACTAAATCCTAGATTCTGTTTAACTTGTGAAAGGCTGCTTACTTGAGCCCTTCAGCAGTCTTTGTTTCTGTGGTGAGCCCGAACTTGTAGCGGTCCTGGTAAGCATAGGCCACTTCCATGAACACACGGTGCTCTGTAATCAACATAAACACTGTAAGTCAACAATAAACAATGCATCATGTGACTTACCGGGTTCGGGTTAGCCCAGTGGGTCTTACTCAGGATCCACTGGACCTGACCACCCGAAGTTACCCATCCCAGCCACCATGCCTGAATACCCTTCGATTTATTCACCTTACAAAACAAGCACAGGTTGCTTGGGACCTATGTCAACCCAAATTCCATCTCAAATTTTATTTTGGTGTTTATGTCAGTATTTCCAACAAGAGGACAGGAACTCCAGGCTCCACAAATAGTCATGACATACATTTTGAGGGCATAACTCTAAGATTAATACTGTAGGAATAGAAAACATTCCAGTTATTTCATCAATGCTATAATAATAATAATAATAATAATAATAATAACCTTGGAGGAACTTCACACAGTTTCCAAAGAAAACACATCCAATACTAAGAAGACTACACCAAAAGAAAACGGTTTCAAGTAAAACTAACGGAAACGAGAAAATACATTTCCTGGATAGAGCTGTGCCTGAAGTTAAGATCATCAGGCAGTCCAATGTCAAAAGACAAAAGGCAATTTGGAGAAAATTAAAACTGAAATATAAAACAACGAAGAAAGATACTTCTCCAAATTGTCGATTCCCTTAAGGCCAAAATAAAGGTTTGGACTGAAAGAAAGAAAAATGGGAAAAGAAAAATAAATTCATCAAACAAAATAAACTGTTTAGAAACAATGAAAAGCACTTCTACAGGCAACTGAAAGCAAAGGGTGATGGTGAACATGACAAACGGCCTCCCATGGATGCCAATGAAAGGTTCTGGAAACAGTTGTGGTCTGTACCGGCAACTGTAACCTTGAGGCACCATGGGTCCGTGATTATGACCATGCAATGCATGAGAAGGTAACTAGGTCGTTTGTCTGTTACATCTCACCAGATTGCCTGAAAAGTGTTATAAAAAGTCCAAATCAAATACAGCTCCAGGGCCTGATGGCATTCGAAATCGGTATTGGAAACTGTTCCCCTGTGTCCAAACACCATTACTACACTGTTTCAATACTCTTGTGGACACAGGTGATGTTCCTCCATGGTTCTGCAAAGGTGGCACAATACTTCTCCCCAAGAAAGGAGACTTGACTGATCCCAAAACTTCCTCGCCTCTATCACATGTTTGAATACACAATACAAAATATTCACAGGGTGTTTGACAAACCTTGTGTCATCTTACTGTTCTTCCAATGATATCATTTACAGAGAGCAGAAGGAGCAAGAAAGGGATGTTGGGGTGCAAGGATCAACTTCTTGTACAGAAAATGATTTTGGAAGAGGCTAAAACATATCACCCTAACCTCTCCATGTGCTGGATTGACTACAAAAAGCATATGACTCTGTCCCTCACGAATGGATTCTGAAGTCTCTTCATTGCATTGACCTCCCTGAGCGACTACTTGATTTACTCAAGTCTTTAATGAGTTGCTGGTCGACTCAACTTGAGATGTACTCGCTGGGGGCAGATGCAGACTTCGAATCTATTCCAATCAGAAGGGGAATATTTCTGTGGGGATTCCTTTAGTCCTTTGCTTTTTTTGTCTGTCTTTAAACCCTTTGAGCTTTCTGCTCAATAAAGAGGGGAGGGTTACCATCCCCGACCTCCTCAGCACAGATCCCCAACACCTCTTACTCATCTCCTTTACATGGATGATATCGAAGCCCTCTTGCCAAAGGAGATTCCAATTTGAAAGAGCAGGTTCTCCTTGTCGAAGTCCTTTTCGAATGATATTGGCATGACATTTGGACTCGACAAATGTAATACTCTTCATTTGAAACGTGGCAAGGTAACTAATGATGGATCGGTCAAGTTACAAGGGGAGGAGTTATTGAGCATCTTGTGGAAGATCAGGCCTACACCTATCTTGAATGCAAGTTCGAGATAAGCTCCAGAATGCCCAGATTCAAGACAAACTTCGGGCCGAAAGTACAAATCTCGCTTTAAAGAAAATCTGGAGCTCAGAGCTAAATGCTCGAAACAAGGTCAAAGCCACCAATACTTTTTTGCTGTGCCAGTCCTCTCCTATTCCTTTGGAGTAGTTGATTGACGAAACAAGACATCCAGAGTCTTGACCGCCCTGACCAGAAGGATCATGTCTGATAACAGAGCCCACCACCCTCGCTCCTCTCTTAACCGGTATATATGCCAATCAATTCTGGAGGTCGGGGTTTGATTAATGTGGAGGCTCTTCATGACAGAATTTTTATTGTGTACTTTGCACATATTTATTTATCGGATGATCCTCTGGTGATGCATGTGAAGACTCATGATGAAAGCAAGGAATTCCACAGCTATTTTAAGCGCGCCAAGGTTGTTGGACAGAATCTGAAATTTGAGGTTGACTTTGCTGATGGCTATGTACTGCTGGATGGTACAGCTGATGGGAGTAAACCAGGTTAAGTCCTTCACCAAGTCTGCCCAGAGTCGGTCTTTGTGGAGAAGCTTTGAGAAGCCATTGCATCGTGTGTACATGCAGTGTGTGGAACAGAATAGCAATCCCTCCGACTCCTTCTCGCCTGGATGAAGTCGTGGCTGGTCTTAAATGTGAAACTGAGGGCTTCCTTTTGCTGCTCAGGACCAGTCACTTCCCACTCAGAATCGCGCCTTTAATGTGATTCTAAAGAGAATATTAACATGAAATGTCGACTTTGCAATGAATTCACAGAGACTGTCCAACACCTTGTCAGTGGATGCCCTTCCTTGGCACAAACAGCATATCTTAAACGACATGATGGCATGGCTCGCTGCTTTTACTACCGCCTCCGACATGCCTGTGGCTTTGACTCCTCAGGTCCATCCATGGTACGACCCTGAACATGTCCAGGGCGCCATGGAAAATGATGCTTTCAAACTTCTGTGGAATAGGCCCATATACAGCCCTCAGAAGAATTCCTGCCAACAAACCTGATCTTGTACTTTGATAAAGCCAATGAATTTATATATATCATTGAATTTTCTGTCCCTTTTGACAGGAAATGTGATTGACAAGATTAAGGAAAAGCATGATAAATATGCGGACTCCTCGCCTTTGAAATGTCTCTCGCTTGCATCCTAAGTACACTGTCGTCAGGCTCCCCCATTGTTCTCGGTGTTCTTTGGTTTGGTACCTCCTGATCTTTTGGCACAGATCAAGAGAGTGCCCGGTTCTCCACCGAGTACAGCTCTCTGACACTCTGGGTAATGCAGAAGGCTGCAGTGTTGGGAGCCTTCATATTCTCCGGAAAGTTCTTGGTGGTCTGACTAGGCAGCGTTTCCTGGGAGAAGTCCCATTCGCTGTCTGGGCTGGCTGCTGGTAGAGGGGCAAGGGCCCTGAGCTGATGATGAGCCTTACCAGCCTGACTGTGCCAGGATCACCCAAACCCTCTCTGCTGCATATTATCTTTAATCTGTAAAACATAATAATAATAATAATAACTCAGGGATTGCCTCCAGGGCAATACTGACGGTCTTCAGACTTCCTCCCCCGTGGCTACCTTTACTTGTACCGCTTTGACGCTTCAGCTGGACCGGCCAATTTTAACTGTCGGAGTTACGAGGGTGTTTGAAGAGTATTTAAGGGCTAGAAAGCCGTTCAAAACCCAGGCAGAACACGCTTTTGACACGAGAGCCGATCGGTGAAATGCAGCCGGGTCACGGGTCATGTACCTTTTAAATAGTTCTGGAGAAGATATAGTTCTCTCTTTAACAGCTGCCAGCTCCGGCCATTCCTTTTGGGTCTACGGTCCAAACGATTAGTGTTCTGGAATCGCTACGTGATCCTAGCTATCTGACGCATATACACGTATGTGCAAATACTGCACTTGTGAAGGATAATGCCATGTAACGCTTATTTCTTTGGGCATTGGATGGCGCTCCAACTCAGATTTGACAGCTCCTTGTCATTGTCAATTACATCTGCCGTTGAAATTGACATGCGTCTCCATATCTGCACGTGGACCAGCTTTGCAGTGGTAGTCTCTTTATAGGAGATATATGTTCTCCGCCATGGAGCATCATCTGATAGTGAACAACCTGAGGGAAGTTTTATCTGTATTATAAATTGCAACTGTGTGATGTGACTAACAAACTGCCTGCTTTTAAATTTAGTGCTATGACTTTTTCTGTTTTTAAATGACAACGTAATGAATAGATGTTTTATAAATAAACTCATTTTGACTCTGTACTTACCATGTGTACTAATGCAGACTTGTTCTTATCACTATATGGCTGGCTGGAATAAAGCCGACGTAAAGCCCAACTCAACTCAACCCAACCTTTAAAAATTACTGTGGTGTAGCGGTTAAAGGCGGGTTCCAACCTGAGATTAATTTGGCATTGATTCAATGCTGCTGACACAAACGGAAAATTCACAAACTGCAGAAAAACATATACTATAAGAGAGATTACTGGTACATGTTGCAGACTGCTGGAGAGATCACATCCTGGCAATTCCAGAACACTAATTCTTTTGAATGTAGACCCTATGAACAACAGAGTTACGGCCTGTTAAAGAGGGAACTATTTCTGTGGGCACTGGAAAACCAGGACACGGGCAGTGGTGCTAGATTTTACGACACTTCCTCCAGCTATCTCACAACTGAAAAAATGCGAAATCTAATGTCCCCTCACTGTTTGTGGCGTAATTGTGGCGTAACTATTGACTTTTACATAATGATAGTGTGAAGCAAAATTGTTCCACATTTTATTGTCTACAGTTTGGTACCTTCCAAAAAGAAAATCCATTGTGTTTTCGCAGAGCTGTGAACCCTATAAAATGCGTTTGGCCAAAAATTGACCAACTTCCAAGGGCAATAACTCCGACACTATTCAAGATATCGATATGCATTGAACAACCTAAGTAGTCCAGAGTGTGGGCTTTAAAACGATATATAGAACACTATTGTACCATTTGCCGTTCAGGAGCAGAGGATTGTTAAACAGAGGCACCGTCAAAAAGGGGCAGGAAATTTTGCGAAATCGT